CCGACATACACAGGCTCCGAGGATGAGAACGACGCTTTCTTGGCTGGCGGTACTTCTGCTGGATCGGTGTCTTCCCCCTATTCGCCGTCGTGCGTGGGTGCCTCCCCATGCGTCGTTTTCGTCGCCGCCGACATGTCCGCGCGCCCAAAGTGCTGCGTCGCCTTCGTCCCCTCTGCCATGTTCGCGCGGTGCGCCTCCGCCCCGTCTGCCGTCGTCGCCGACGCGCGCGATGGCTCTGCCAATGGGCTTTTCTGCCGAGTCTGGCGGTTGTGATCTGAACGAGGGCTGTAATCCAGCCATTCTGCATGAGGAAGGGAGGGGGGAGGAGGAGGAGGAGGAGGAGGAGGAGGAGGAGGAGGAGGAGGAGGAGGAGGAGGAGGGTTGAGGAGGAGGAGCAGGATGAGGAGGAGGAGGAGGAGGAGAGGATTTTTATCCATTGTGGGGGGTAGGCGGGCCCTTTTAATGTTTTGCTTGCTCCCTTGCTCCCTTGCTCCCTTAGGTAAGGGAGCAGCCCTGCTCCCTTGCCCCCTTGCCCCCTTAGCTAAGGGAGCAGCCCTGCTCCCTTGCTCCCTTGCTCCTGTAGCCGCTAAGGGAGCAGCCCTGCTTCCTTGCTCCCTTTCTCCCTTAGCTAAGGGAGCAGCCCTGCTCCCTTGCTCCATTGCTCCCTTAGCCGCTAAGGGAGCAGCCCTGCTCCCTTGCCCCCCTGCTCCCTTAGCCGCTAAGCGAGCAGCCCTGCCCCCGTGCTCCCTTGCTTCCTTAGCTAAGGGAGCAGCCCTGCCCCCTTGCACCCTGGCCACCTTAGCCGCTAAGGTGGCAGCCCTGGCCCCTTGCTCCTTTGCTCCCTTAGCCGCTAAGGGGGCAGCCCCGCCCCCTTACGCGGCCAAGGGGGCAAGGGGGCAAGGCGCGAAGGTGCAAGGATGCAAGGGCGCAAGGGCGCAATGCCGTCCATGGCCTCGCAGGGCCGCCTTCGGGCCCTCCCGGGGCTCTTTGTGGGCCGCATTGGAACCCTATTTGGAAGGTTTTGGTTTGCCTTGGACTGTCCAAGGTGGCCCTTGACGAACCCCCCAAACCGCAGAAACTGGCACATCTCCCCACCACCCATTTCGGCACACCCCTCACACGTTTCGTAGCCCCATAGGCAGCTCCACCGAAGGCCCCAGTGGCTGCGTTCGCATGCCTCCCCACCACCCATTTCGGCCGTGGCCCCATAGGCAGCTCCACCGAAGGCCCCAGTGGCTGCGTTCGCATGCCTCCCCACCACCCATTTCGGCACACCCCTCACACGTTTCGTGGCCCATTAGGCCAGCTCCACGAAGGCCCCAGTGCTGCGTTCGCATGCCTCCCCACCACCCATTTCGGCACACCCCTCACACGTTTCGTGGCCCCATGGGAGCTCCACGGAATGGCCCCAGGCAGGGTTCGCACATGCCTCCCCACCACCCATTTCGGCACACCCCTCACACGTTTCGTGGCCCCATAGGGAGCTCCACCGAAGGCCCCAGTGGCTGCGTTCGCATGCCTCCCCACCACCCATTTCGGCACACCCCTCACACGTTTCGTGGCCCCATAGGGAGCTCCACCGAAGGCCCCAGTGGCTGGTTCGCATGCCTCCCCACCACCCATTTCGGCACACCCCTCACACGTTTCGTGGCCCCATAGGGAGCTCCACCGAAGGCCCCAGTGGCTGGGTTCGCATGCCTCCCCACCACCCATTTCGGCACTCCCCAACACCCATTTCGGCACACCCCTCACACGTTTCGTGGCCCCATAGGGATCTCCACCGAAGGTCGGGGGGAGCTTGACACTGGTATCCTTGCGGTACTCGCAGCTGCATATGGTTGGGTCCTTCGCCAGGCTAATTTTTCTCGGCGAGGATCCTCGAGGAGCATCCTCGCACGACATCGAAAAATGAACGGAGAGTGGGCGTCTGAGCGATGGCGAGGCTCGGGTGTTGCTAGAAGTGCTCCTGGCCCAGGGTGCCCCCAGGAAATCCAAGGAGGCCACCACGGCCTCCACAGCACCCCCCTCCCGAGGTCCAGAGAGGGCCCCAGGGGCTCCAAATGTGGTTATCGCTACAGTCTCGCGCACATTCGTTGTCAACGATTGCAAGAGTTTCGCTGGTGGAGGGCGGGGTGGTTCTCAAAATGAGGTTCTCGCCTCAGCGCCGCGCACATTCGTTTTGAAAGTCTTCGAGAGTTTCACCTCTGGAGGGCGGATCTTGTTCTAAATGTGGTTCTCGCCGTAGCGCCTCGTACAATCGAATTAAAACATTTCCAACCGTTCAACGGATTCTTATCGCTGGCGTCCCAGGAGTGGTGTTCCCGCACGATATAGGACTGTCAGGGTGCATTCGTCACGTTGATTCGCGGTGCTGAATTCCCAGGAAAGGTGGTCTGGCAGGATGCGTTGTCGTCAAGGCACATGTTTCGCGGCGTTGAAGTCCAAGGAGTGTGTTTTGGCACGATGGCAGATTCTCAGGCGGTTGATTTTCAACGGGGCATGTTCCAGCTGTGAAAATCTATATCCTTGTAGGGGCCTGTGAAGAGTGAGCGAGGGTTTATTGCAACACCGTTGATGCGCTTTGGGTTTACACTGGCCCTCCTCCTCCTCCTCCTCCTCCTTCTCATCCTCGCGCCCGCGTGGCCTGCGGGTGGCTGGCGCGCGCGCGGGCAACGCGAGGCTGCGGCTGCGGAGGCCGCGCTGAAGGAGCAGCTGGAGCAGGCTGGCGTAGAGCTGCACACCGCCAAGGCCGCCCTGCGGGAGGCAGGTGGGAATGGGGAGGGGAAGGGGAGGACAAAAGGGGGGAGGGAGTGATTATGATGATGATGAGGAGGAGGAGGAGGATGATGATGATGAGGAGGAGGAGGAGGAGGAGGAAAAGGAAGAGGGGGGCGGAGGAATGGGAGAGGGAGGAGGGGGCGGCGGAGTTGCATGTGGAGAGGCGGGAGGGAGAACGGGCGGGAGGAGGAGGAGGAGCAGGAGGAGGATGAGGAGGAGGGAGAAGGGGGAGGAGGGATGGGGAAGGGTGAGGAAGAGGAGGAGGTGGATGACGAGGAGAAGAAGAAGAAGAATAAGGTGGACCAGTGTAACCTCAAGATGCATCAACGATGTTGCAAAACACCATTATTCAATTCCATCTTCGTAGGTCTTTACAAGACTTAGTTTTCATTGCGAGAATGGCCCATTGAAAGACAAACGTTGGAGAATCCTCGATCGTGCAAGAACGCCGTTCCTGGGACTTCGACGCCTTGGCAACTCTACTTCGCGCCAGAACACGATCCCGGGACTGCAACACCACGACTCAACGTGACTGTTGCGTCCTGACAATCCAAAATCTTGCCAGAACGCCATTCCCAGGACTTCAGCCATACGAATCCTGAACTTGTTGTAGAAGTTTAGGACGGCTGTGCCCGGCGCCACGGCGAGAGCCAAATTTTGAAACGGAACCGTCGTCTTCCACCCTTCGAGCGGCTGCGCAAACTTTTGAAGAGAATCTGCGCGACGCCCAGGCGAGAGCCACAACAATTGCCCGTCCTCCATCCTTGAAGCTGTTGCGAACTTTGAGACGAATGGGCGCGGCGCTAAGGCGAGAGCAATATTTCGAAATCCACCCGCCCTCCATCCTTGAAGCTGTTCAACACGTTGACGATGAGTGCACGCGGCGCTCAAGCAAGAGCCACATTTTGAAAACCACCCGCCCTCGAACCGTGGAACTGTTGACAGTGTCGAGCTCCAGGATCCTAAGTGGTGAGGAAGTACCAGGCAAAGCGCCCGGCCCGTCCTACCGACACGTCTGGGGGTGCGACAGGGAGGAATCATTATTACACGGGAAGGGGAATGTAGGAGGAGGTGGAGGAGGAGGAGGAGGAGGAGGAGGAGGAGAGGAGGACCGACATGTAGTGGAAGGTCTGCCCTCCAACCTGTGCGAGCGTCGCGGAGGCGGCCGCCGACGACCTGCGCGAGCATGCCGCCCAGCTCGAGGGCGCCGTGGCAGAGGACCGCCCAGGGGGCAGGAGGAGAGCGGGGAAGAGGGGAAGAAACGAAGGTCGAGGAGGAGGGGGAGGCGGAGGCGGAGGAGGATTCTCCTGTATTATCCTGGTGCGCGCGCACGCGCAAACAACATGAGGAAGCTGAGAGCAACACTAGATACGTGCCACAAAAGTCTCAGGGCACTCCAGGCGTGCCAAGCAAATTCAGCGACATACGAGGCGGACTCCGCAAGACAGTGCCAAGAAGCAGGAGGGGAGCAGCAGAGAAGCAGCTGCAGCCACAAGTCACTGTGCCTTCCATCGGGGGTTCCAGCCCCCCACAGAAGCAGCCTACAAACTCCGCCACCTGCTCACAGGGCCCCCACACTCGCCGCCAATCCACACTCAGCTCACAACACCACATCTGGACGCCGCCCCACGCCTCCCGCCTCTCTGAGGTCGGGGACCCTGGCACCCTCGAGTGGGGAGCGCGGTGCGAGACATAGCAGGGCCCAGAACCACCCCCACAGCCCGTAGGCAGGTGGCCCGCACCCTTGAGCCTCCCCCGCCTTCGCAGCAGGTCGGAGTGACCCTGGCCCCGCACCCTTTTTAACCCGGCCCGGCACAGCCGCTGGGCGCTTGCAGTGGGGCCGCACGGCAGAGGAGGACCGAACCCCGCGGACCAAGACCGCACCCCTTGGGAGTGCGCAAAAGGACCGCAGGGCACGGCCCTGCCTACCGCAGCGCACCACAGAGGTCAAGATTTGGCGGACTTCAGTTCCCCTGGGGCCCCGACGTGCCGGCCTCGCGCCGAGGCACCCCATCCAGAGGATGAGATGAGACAGCGCCTCGGAGAGGGATGGTGCGACAAGCAGAACACAACAGAGCCGCAGGGACCCTGATGCCCGCACAGCACTGCGGAACATTCGGCGAATTTGCCAGGGGGTGGAGCGACCGACGCATCGAGACAGGCGGCGAGGTCGCACCACCCACAAAAGAGAGGACATTACACTGACTGCTCTTTCAGTCGAATTCTCTCGGCGAGGGCAGCCATCCTGGTGACATGGGAAGGGGGGCCCTCGGAGGAAAGAGCCCTGGAAACGCGTGTGGTCTCAAGCGCAGGCCGTTTCACAGCAAAACTCACGAGACCGTGGGCGGGGAGGGCGGCGTCAACCTTGCGCGCGAGCCTCTTGTGTGGGCCCACGCTTTTGCGCAGATTCGCAAGCACTTCGAGCCCCTTCCTGGTGGGGGGCTCGCACAAACGTCTCAACTTTGAGCGCCTGGACTGCTGAGCCCAGGCGCCACAATTAGTACACACATGCAGTGGGTTGAAGCAGCCAGGATTCGCAGGAGTCTGTCCTCCCTGATTGACTGCAGTCAACGTGTGCCCGAGGGGTTCACGCACAAACGCCTGGAGGTACGCAGGCATGCCTCTACAACCTGACATCGGCCTGTCGTGCGCATCACAAGCAATACACAAACACTGCGCGCACTGAACACCGATGCACGGTGCGACGCCACTCGTGCCAACACGTGCGCTGCACATGCACTCTGGGAGAGGACGCGCTCACTCGTGTCCAGCGACACTCACTGTCGAAGAGGGGGAGGACCGCGGCGGCAAGACGGACGAAGCTTGCCGAGATCCGCAACCCGTCCTCCAGCTGCGCCTCGAGCTCGAACGGCAGGGGGGCGTGCAGGGAGATCGCCTTCTTGGCGTACACAGCTGCTACAACATTGGCGTCGGTCAATCTCTTGGCAGCCTGAGTGAGTGTAGAATACTGCTCAGACGACCGATGGGCTTTCACGTGCTGCGCAGACCGAATGTGGTGAAATCCAGGCATCTGCTGACCAAACAACTTGACGCAGCCGTAATGAGCACCTGCCCGCAACTGATCTTCAGGACTCCTGGATGCTTCGATCACGGCTGCCATGTGGTCTGCGTGGACATCAACGGGCCGATCGGCCACTTGTCCAACGTATGCAAGCGACAGATGTTCAGCCAGAGCCGACCGCTGCGGTAGGGACCCAGGAACTGCTCCAAACATCACTCGGAGTGGTCTGTCGCCCTGCGGGTCCAGCAGCGCAATGGCCCAGCCTGCTCGACGAGCTGCGCCAAGCAGGGGCACGCTGCACGAACCGTCAACTGCGAACTCTGCAGCCAGAACATCAGGGCCGAGGACGTTGCCGACGTCATCGAGGATGTGCACCTTCGTGCCGTCGTCGAGCGGCGGAAGGAGGCTCTCCTCGTAGGCAAAAGCTCCCGTGACGTAGCGCAGGTCGTTCTCGCTGTCGCAGCCCTCCTGCACGAAGTGCTCACTGACCTGGCTCTCGAGACGCGCGGCCTGCACGTCAGCCCTGGTGCAAGTGTAGAGCCTGTGATGTACCGTGTCTGCTCGGCCACACGAGCAGCGACCATCCGCGTCATAGCCCCTGTCCAGGGCGCGACTCTTGGTCCACAGACCCTGGCAAGCACACGTACGGATGAGGAACTTTTGGTACTTGCTGCACTTCCTTGAGCGCTCGCGCACAGCGCCCTGGATGAGATCAAACGTCACTCGAACTCCAGCTGGGAGGTCCCGCTTCTCTGCAAGCTGGCACTCAAGCATCCGCTTCATGGCCTGAATCAGTAGATCCTCGAGCACCGCGGGAGTGAGCTGATCAACTCGGACTGCTTGATCGAGGTGATCGCGCCAGAGAGCCCCGCCGTGGGCGATCCAGCCGACAGGCTCCAGGCACAGGGCTGCACGCTCCAGGGGCCCTCGAGACTTAGCCCGGTCGAAGGGCCTGCCAAGGTGGGTGACAGCAGAGTCCCACCAGATGGGCAGGTCATTCCTGGACACGGGTGCCCTGTCGGGCCGAGCGACGGCCTCCCGCAGCATGCGGCTCCACTGCAATGCAGGAGCAACGGCTTGGCGAATCGCTGGGTCGCCATCGAGAGCCAACTTGGCGGTCGCAGAGACGCCTCCGCGATATGGTCTGACCTGGCGTCCGCACGCTCGGCGGAGTACTGCAAGCTCCGAATTGGTGACTCCATTGACCTCGACTCCGAAGGTGCACGCAGGTCTCGCCCCCGTGCGGTAAATACGACCAAGCCGGAGGTCCTTCTTGACTGGCATAGCCCGCCTGTACTTGGCGAGCTTCCTCATGCGCTTCTTGTGCCGATCAAGGCGACTCCGCTGCTTGATTCGAACTCCTGCTGCCCTTCGAGCTCGACCAGCCGCGTAATCAACTCCAAGGTCAGCCACTGCGCTCCTGACAGTTGCTTCAGCAGGGACTTGTAGCCGCTTGGCGCTTGGCTACAGCACGTCCTATGTCGAGGCTTGCGGCTACAATAGCAAACTTCTCATTGATGCGGGAACCCAGCTTCTGAGCAACTTTCTTGAAATCCTCTCCAGCGATGACTGCCTGCTCCACCACCATGCACGCATCAGCATGATGAACCCCGATAGCAGTGTCATCGATTTAACTTGAGAAACTGACCAGAGGGTGCAGGCGCACGTATGAGTCATACTCTGCAAGAGCGTGAACTTTGATCGCGATGTCCGCGACACCATCGCCAGCTGGCACTCCACGCCAGGCAAAGCAGGGACAACACCCATGGTGCCGCTGCGCTCTGATGATACGAGGCCCTCTCCACGTATTGAAAAACAACTTCGTAAAACCAGTGGGCGCATTCATCTGATCAAACTTGAACTGCAGCTCGTCCAAGTTAATCTCCTCATCGTACTTTGAGCAATCGGCAACAAGGGTGACTGAGTGCATCCCATTCGACGACGCAGCCTCCGTGCGGGCGGCCAGCGTCCACACGTTGTCAATCGCCGATCTTCCTGACGCAACGCCCCAATACTTGCGTTCAAGAGCCTGCTTGAGACCATCGAGATGCACTCGCTGGGTGCGTTGCCAGAGATGGTAACATGCACAGTAGACCACTATAAGACGATGCCCACCAGCAGCCTCAGGAAGCATGGGAAGGATAATTCACTGCAGCTGCTTAGGCAGCAAGCCAAGCGATTCGCAAGCCTGCCACAACACACTGAGCACCTCGGGCGCCTCATCACTCAGGAAGGCGAAGGGTGTATGCCGTCCAGGGAGCTGGACGTGGTGGAGGGGAAGGAGCTGGCGGCCTTCCTGATTGCATCCACCGAAGCGGCAGGCAGCGACTCACGATCAGGAATACGTGCCCGAGGTGCCTGCCTTCCTCCCTGCCACACTTTCATGTGCGGCTGCTCCATGTCACGAACAACGTGGTGAGGGTGAGCCGTGGCCCCACGCTCGCCCTTGACGACGGTCGGCTGCTGGACGTCCTTGAGCCGCGTGAGCCGATGACGCCCTCGTGCTCCTCCTGCACCGGCCTGTTCGCACCGGGCCTTCCACCGAGCGCTCCTGTCATGCCCAGCCTCCTGACATACAGCGTGGACATCGTCATCGATGTCATTGAGCGGGTCTCGCAGGCCATCGGGGCGCAATGGGGGCCAGAGAAACGAGACGGCGAGCATGCTGCACTGTAGAGTCTAGCCTGTGACTCAGTCCTTGATCAACGTACTTGTGTGTCTGGGAAGATTCAATCTCAATCGCCAGTCTTATCAGGCGAAGAGCTGCCAGCTATGCAGCCGCGACGCACGGCCAAGGAGGGGGCACCGACGTGACCTCGGAGACCCTCGGGGAGACAACCGCCTGAGCGCGTCTCTCCTGGCGAGAGGGGTACGTCTGGGAGGTGGTCCGTGCACTCAGGGTCGCGGTCAATGTCATCGAACGGGTCGAGCTCGCATTGGTCCATCTGATTCGGCACAACAGTCCGCGCTCTGATGCCAGTGTCCGTAGTTCCTGCAGCCGCCCTCGACGTAGATGTTGCCTCGCCGAGCTGTACTATGTAGGTGATGGCGTCACGTAGCCAACTCCATCCTTCAGCTCGCGCCTAGGCGCCGTCAGGATCTTTAGCTTCATATCTAACTTGAACCCACTGCGGTGCGGGGCATTTGGCGAACAGGTTGAAGTCCCGAACTTCAGTGGCTGTAACATGTGAGACCC